TTTGGACAAAGAATGGTGTTAGGAGCACTTTTATCAGGAGGCACAGTCTCCATTCTCATTTACTTTGTCTTGTACCTCATTGTGCTAAATGGATAGCTCTGTCTCTCTCCCTGTGTATGTAATAAGCATACCACCCTCCCATATGCACACAGAATAGAAAAATGAAAGACTTAGAACTATCATATGACCACCATTCTCACTGTGATTGCATTAATGATAGGAAGTGCATACACACAGGATTGGGAGCATTCCCTACCACATTCCCTTCATTAGCATGACCCTGCTCTCTTCCACCCTCATCCTTAACCCTTTGCTGTACATTGTGCCGTGTGAATGTGTAGATCTCTTTAAGTTGTTTCCAGCTTACAATGACCCTAAGGCAAACCTATTATAGAGTTTTCTCAGCAAGATTTGTTCACAATGGAGTTTGCCACTGCCTTTTTCTCAGACTGAGTGTGTGACTTTTCCAAGGTCACCCAGTGCATTTCTGTGACTGAGTTGGGATCTGAGCCCTTGTCCTAGCCAGCATAGTGTACTGGTTTAACTATTGGGCTAAAACTCAGGAGGCCAAGGTTCTATTCCCTGCTCTGCTGTAGAAAACCACTGGATGGGTCACACACTCTCAGCTCCAGAAAATCCCATTATAGATTCATGTTAGAGTCATCATTATTGTAAATGACTTAGAGGCATACAACAACCATCTAGGCTAACACTCAAACTATTACAGCACACTGGCTCCTAAATAGGCCCATATATACTGTGAAGTCCAATTGTTTTATTGGTAAAAGTTTCATGCACCTTTGTCCCTTAAATCATGCAGAAAGCCCCCCCCCATGCATGGAAACATTCAAAAGTGCCCTCACCCCACCCCACCAGCACCACAGTATGCAGTACTACTCTCAGATCCCTCAATTTTCCTCTGAAGTTCTTCTCAAAATGGCATCATGTAGTGTCACTTCTTATTGCCATTTTGAGGGGACTGTAGAGGAAAACAGAGTTATTGGGAGGGCAGCCGACAGATGAGCTGGGGGGAGCATTGGCCCCTGGCCCTCATGCAGCTGTAAGACTAAGAAAGTAGAAATATTACGGCAAGATATTTTGGCTTCTACTGGCTTCAGATGTTGTGAAAATACATATGATGGGTCTACCATCAATGGGTCTACTCCAAGAATGAGCAAATGTGATTCCCCCACCTATATTTCTCAGGATATAATGCAACTTTAAAAGAGAGAGAGAGAGAGAGAGAGAAGAAAAAGAAAAAAAAATGCATTGCAACTTTTGAAGAATCATAAAATTTACCAGATAACTTCAGTTTCATTCTGTGTATTAGTCTGTTATTGGTGCAATTCAAGAAAATTAAATTCTTCATGCATCCCTACTTATCACATTTTAATTCACTCCCTATTCCTACATGGACTCAGTTGAAAAGCTTTCCTTGGCTTGTGCAGTTATTCTGCAGAGAAGTAATATGTAAATGCACTTGATGAAAAATAACATATTGAGCCAATGCATTTCTTTATCTGTTGGCTTTCCCACTGAGCTCAGCGAACAAATATTGTTATTAAATATTGATTTTTTAAAACCTCTGGCTGGTTCTGACCCTTAGTCCCATGACAACCATTTGCTTTGCTTGCACTGAATCATTATTGAGTAGCCTAAAATATGTGAGATTGTAGATGGACCAGCTTTCCTTTTGTTAAGAACATTCTGCTTCAACATTTGCTATTCCTGTTGTTTCAAAGGAGTCCTGTACAATTTGCAACTGAGCAAGTCATGCCTCAGCTGACAAGTCATATGTTATTATGGACAGCCTTGCACTACAGACCTCCACTCATCCCATTTATATACCTCTGGGCAAGCACCGAAGTAAGTTTACCAAACCCCTGGTGAGTTGCCATATGAGGATGAGAGGTTGAAAGGTCACAAACTGCATAGTCCTCTTCTAAAATAGCAATTTTTGCACAGTAGAACAGAGGCTATTACAAAACGTAACTCATGTGGAAGCAGGTCAGTAGCTTTGAGGAGAGCCTAAACAGGTGAGAATTCATTACAGAACTTTCCAAATAGTAACTTAATATCTTAAAAAAGGAAATGTAATGGAACTGTGGGTGATGATAAATGAGGAAATACAGCAACAGAAGTACAAGGTCTTGAACATAAAAACAGCTCA